AGTATAAAAACAAACAAAAGTGAAAAAAATGGATGAAACATGTACTTTAATAAAAAAATACAAAGCTGTCTAGTGATGTGAAATTTGTTGCTTTCTCTTTGTTTGAACTTGCTGGAAAGAGATATTCCATGACCCTAAAACATCAGGATAATATTATTAGTATTCTATATCAAATGTTCTGTGTTGCTGATGAAAACACTTGTGAGCTCATCAAAGCAAACTAGAGATGCCAGCCATAACAGAGTACAAATAATATTCATGTTGTGTTGTTTAAGAAACGTGGACTTTTATGTGCTCGGGAGGTTGTATTTCTATATCTGTGCCCTGTAATCTCTATTATGTAAAAATAATAATCAATTGTCAATTTGAAAGGGAGAAAGCGATAAAATTTGGAGGGAGGAAGCATGGAAGTGGTTGGAGAGAAGGAAGGAAAGAGTGGTGTAATTATAGTTTAATTTAAATATATTTTACAAAGCTACTTAGGAGATTCAGAAGGTACTGCAACTCTTTTGTTTTGTTTTGTTTTTATTGAGCTATATATTTTTCTCTGCTCTTCTCCCTTCCTCCTCTTTCCCCTTCTATGCTCACCCATGATCCCCACATTCCCAATTTACTCAGGAGATCGTGTCTTGTTCTACTTCTCATGTAGATTAGATCCATGTATGCCTCGCTTAGGGTCCTCTTTGTTGCCTGGACTCTCTGGGGTTGTGAAATTGTAGGCTTGATTTTCTTTGCCTTATGTCTAAATGCTACTTATGAGTGAGTACATATTCTATTTGTCTTTCTGGGTCTGGGTTACCTCACTCAATAAGATGTTTTCTAGATCCATCCATTTATTTGCCTGCAAATTCCAAGATGTCTTATTTTTTTCTGTTGTGTAGTACTCAATTGTGTAAATATACCACATGTTCTTTATCTTTGTCTCCGGTCAAGAAATATTTATGTTGTTTCCAGTTTCTGATTTTTACAAAGGCTGCTATAAACATAAACTGAGCACATGCTGTCTCAGAAAATTAGAAAATAACCTATTTCCAGACTCAGCAATACCACTTTTGGGTATTTACCCAAAGGATGCTCAATCATACCGCAGATATGACAATCCTTTAGCCAGAGATAGGCATTTATCACCAATACATATTTAGCTCCATTCAATAAGAAGATAACTTTTATATTAATTATCTTATGAAGACAATTACCTTAAGTTTCTAAGCCATTATTGTGATAGAGTGGTTGTATGGCTATTTAGCATTTTAAACAGATAATATTTATTGTACTTTCTTATAATTAAGGAAAGGAGACATTCATACGTGGTTACAATCTGATACTGCAAGTGACTGTTAGCATTTGCTTGTTTGTAACAGGGTCCCACTGTCTGCCCTGTTTATCGGATCCCCATCACTGGAAGCATCTATTTCTTTGTGGTATTTCAATGCCCTCAGGAGGTAAATTAGTACTGTAGGAAACTTCTGGCTTTAGTGCCAGACACCTTCACTATTGACACAGCTTTATTAAAAACATAGAGACTGACAATAACTGTTTTGTAAGCTTGTGGCAAGAACGTCTTAAGCAAACAGAGAAATCACAGCCACCCATTAGCTTTCTTTCCTTTTTTGCCTTTGTTCACCCAAGCAGATAACAAACCAAACCAGCAAGAGAGACTCCATGCTTAGAGGTGTGCGGTGTTCTGCCTGTTCTGAAGATTCTATGTGTTCCTATTGATGACTCTTTCTTTGCACAGACTGAAAGGAGCCGGGCAGACAAGGCGATGGAATATTTCAACACTTCACACTGTGAGATTCACAATTGGACTAGTAACTAGCTTTCTTTGAAAACTTTATTAGGACCTAAACCCTAGCTCTGCTCCTAGCAGGGTAATCTTTGTGATTCAGGTCTGCCCCGACAAAGCTCAAAGGAGAGAAGTTTAAGGTTTGTTTCAGCTCTGTAATTTTGTGAACTCCACCGGGTTTTATTCTGACTCAAAACTGCATCACCTCAGAGATTTCTCAAAGAAGGGAAATTTTACCCTTGCTAGCAAATGACAAAGAACTGAATTAAAGAGGGAGCAAGCAGCTCCCTTCCTCTTTAACTCCTTCCAGTGTTGGAATGAGAACAGAGCCACAGAACAGGGACTTCTTCACACCTTGGCATCTCCCATCCTTTTTATTTCTTCCACTGCCTCTGGGTGCCCTGAAGTCTTTGCATTTCCCAAAGTCCCCCCCTTTTTTTTTCTTTCCTAAGTTTGCATTGGTTTGCAACATTCTATAAAAAGAAGGCTTGAGAGATGGCTCAGCAGTTAAGAGGACTGGCTGTTCTTGCTGTGGACCTCAATTCCCAGCACCCACATAGTAGCTCACATCTATCTGTAACTCCGGTCCCAGGAGATACTTAACTCCCTTCTGGCCTCCAGGTGCACGGCATACACAGACTGCATTCAGGCAAAAACTCATACATATAAAATCAAAACAAGATACAGAAGCTTTTTTCACTGCTTAGAGACTAGATAAAATTGTAACATGCATAATAAAGACCAGGGAATAAATAAACAAAATAAAGCAAACACCGGAAATTTGGATTTCATGTGTTGAAACCTCATGTCTCAGATTCTAGACTTCTAACAAGCTCCAGAAGAGTTTGCTATCTCTCGAATCACTGCTTATAGCAGTTATCAGAATATGCTATGGAAAGAACGGTCCTTAAATGTAACACTTAGAAGTAAAGGAAGTCATCAAAAGTATTTCACTTTCATAAATACATTATACTCCTTTTAGTTACCACAAAACATAACCAAATTTCAAAAATAATTTTTAGCGGGCAGAGGACAATAATGTGCTATTCTTTCATTCTCATATGGTGTCTCCACATTCGCATACATATATATTTATTTTATAATTGTAATTACTATTGTATGTGAGAGAGAGAGAGAGAGAGAGAGAGAGAGAGAGAGAGAGAGAAACGGAGAGAGAGAGAAACGGAGAGAGAGAGAGATGAGCTCTCACAAACACATATGTGGAAGTATGAGGACAACTTTGTGGAGCTAGTTCTCTCTCCAACGTTCTCAGTTCCAGTATCTGAGCTCCAATCTCCAGTCTTGTACATTAAGTGTCTTTATCTGCTGAACCACCTCTAACTGATAACAGGAGAACTGTCATTATGTAAGTAGAACTCCAAAATTTATCTTCTAATGCATAAACATAGGAAGAAATGAAATGATGACAAATTTTTTTTGATAGGAAATTACTTGTTTACAATAAAAGTTCATAAAATGCATGGCATATTGTAAGAATCTTAGGAGTACCCCAAAGTCTAATATATCTCAAAATTTAGAGTTCCCTAAAATATTACAGAAGAATAAAATTCTGAGAAGAAATATGCAAAATGGCTGTCTAGTTATAAAGCTATGCTTTTTCATTTCTTAAAAATATTACTTAGTATTCAATATAAATGCAAATTATAGTAAAAAAGATGTAAATGCAATTATCAGGAATATTATCAAAGTGGACGAATTTTGCTTGTGACCATAGAAGCTATTGTTTAGCCAAGAGCTTCAGAAAATCTTAACGATTGGGACATTAAACTGAAATACACACAGCTTTATCTTCTAAAATAATCTTTCTTTCTTAATACACATGTACTGTATTTTACTGCTTCTTGCAAAAGCCTAATGATATTTTATGATATGGGAAGATTTAAGTAGCAAGAACACAATGTTTTATTGAACAATAAACATTATTCACAGGACTCCTGTGCTCTTTTTCTCACAGAAGAGGTCAAATCAGAAAAGAGATTCAGATTCCACACTTGAATTCACTAGAGAGATGTTCTTTGGGAGGCTTAATGTATGTAAAGTAAGGAGATAACAAATACCATTGTTTGAACAGTTCAAGTTCAGGAACATAAAATGGGGGTCAAATAAAGCAGGAAAGGTATCAGTGGAGAGCATAATAATGCAACGTGGGAGGATTCAAGGTTTTGTCTTTATGTCCCAGAAAATATCTGATATCCTCAGAGCCGGGCAATATTCAAAATTTAGGCTCCAAATATTCCTTGTGCAAGCATTTCTAATCTTGTAAGAACTGATCTATTTTTTTCTATTCAGCATATCAGCCCAGAAAGCACTGGAGTTTAAAATGGTATTCAAAATAAATTAAAAAAAAAGATCTTGTTATTAGAGTAATGGTACCAGAGATATTGAAAAATAGGTTTTTGTGGAACACTGCACCTATAGAGTGTGTTTACTACTATTACATTTTTATCTCATAAGAATATAGTCTAAGCTTTTGTAGAAGTATCAGTTCCTATTTAATATTGCTTAACATGTAACCCAATGATCAATTCATCTTCCTAAACCAAGATTTGAAAGAAATAAGAGTATTTTTGAGGATTAACCTTTGAAAGAGAACACATATCTTTTTTATTAGCTCCATCTGATGGCCGAAGTAATTTTTGCACATGGCCTAAGTAAATCCTCAGATTTTTTTTTAAATTTATTTGTTTTCATTACCCTCCTCTCCATCATAAGGGGATGATATGCTGTGAGGTGACTACTTGGCTAACTCTACCACAAATCCTCTATGGTAAATAGAAATAGATTCCCTGTAATATTGTTTGCAAGAAAAGGAAATAAATCTTGAAAATCTTATCAGGTCTTTTAAGGGTTAGGTTGAAAATTATAAACATCATATATTATAATGGAACAGATTTAAAATACAAACATATTTCCATATTTTCCTATATGCAGATATTTACACTTACATCCCATGGAAGCATATCTTACTGGACTTACATTTGAAATATACATGAAGATAAAAATTTTTTACCACATAAAATGATTTCATAGCACTAGACTAGTATGACAAAATCCAATTTATATGCTATACCACCCCAATGTTATCTAAACATACTTATGCATTTTAAAATACATTTCTTCTTTGGCTTCTTTTTTAAAGAAAATAACTGAGCTTAAGTGCTAAGTGATAAGGAAATCATAGCAAACATCATACCTCAGCATCATATTCCCATAGCTGATTTCCTCTCATATGGTGGCATTTCAACATGATTACAGGTCCATTGAGTCTGGATACATCCAGGCACAAGTCATCAGTTCGGATTTCTTTGTCAGCAGTATAAGAAAACACCTGAAAATAGAAAATTCAGCTAATAAAATAATATTGGGTTTATAAAACGCACTGTTTAGCAAAGCTATCTGTGAACATTAGCCTATTCTTCTATCCACACAGTTCAAGACCTCTCTGTTGATCCTACAAAGGCTGCGTCCTCTTGCTGTTAATTTGTCAGAGAGCAGGCTGCGAGAACGTCATCTCCCTTAAAAGGCTGAAAGCAATGAAGCTTTGATTTAACAAGTGTCATTAGTAAATGCTTACAAGCTGGCCTTGCATTTCCTATGTGATACATGCTTAATGGAGCAATGGAGCACAAACCTGTCCATTAATACTGGTTTGTAGACAGCAGAGAGATTCAAAAGGACCATCCTTCTCTCTCCATCTCGCCAATTCTCTAAATCTATACAGTAAACTTTATAGAAGTTTAAGTACATCTTATAAATTTTATTAATGCTATCAGAAGGTTTATAAATATAGGATATTTATCTTTTCAAGATCTCAATAACCTTACATTCTGCTATAATGATCTTTCTTCTATGATTTTGGCTAATCTTGACAACATTAATTCTTTTCAAAATACCCTGGAAATGCCAAGGCAAACAATTAATTGCCTCACCGGGAATTCAAATTGACTACAAATTTTATTATTTTGTATTAGTGTTAATAACTTCTTCATAACATTAACCATTAAGGTTTCATGAGGAGTATTATGGTCATAGTTATAAAATTAGCTCTCTTCTTTTGGCTATGATCAGCAAAGTTTAGTATTCTGTCGGTCCTTCTTTTTAATTTGAATATCAGAGGCAATACATTTAGAAAGGTCATCTCCAAGGTTTGTGTTTTACCAAGAATTCTGAGATCTTCTGGAGCCCTAAACTGCAGTCTAAACTACAGTCTTAAAATTACAGGCTGGACTATAGTCGTAAAAAGAATGCATAGCTGGAAGATGTGGCTCAGTGGAGGAGCATTGACTAACACATGTGGCTCAGCTCAACCCCTAGTACCTACAGAAAATTTGGCAATAATTAAGTTTAACCTACATTGTAAATATTTTTATTAGGAGACGAGAGGTTTCAGGAGGCTTAACTAAAACTGAAGACTTATTGAAATCCTTTGTAAGTTAATTTTTAAAGACCTATTACCTTGTAGATTAATTTTTAAAAATTAAAGTAAAATAATTAGAATTGCATTGGTAGATAATGCTGCTATTTGAAACCATGAACAATTAAACAACAAGACAAACCAATAGGCACTGGCTATCTCCCTATGACCTGCTAATCAGAAAGGTCTTAGAGGTGTCCATAACACCAGATGTAGTTGCTCTTAGTTATCCATCAGAACATGATGATAAGACTCTGTTCCATGGTTTGCGTCTAAAGAAGAAATATCAAGCTAGAACCCAGCCATAAACTGCCCCCCCCCCCGTATGTTAACCTCAATAGTTCTGGAGGAGTAGGGTACCATGCAAGAGAAGTCAACAGAGCACTTGCTCTACAATGGACCCTGAACTCTACATAGCAGATCAACCAGTCAGGAAGTGTCTGTTTGTACAATAGGCTCATGATTGGTGTGGAATAACCAATCACATCTTTTTTTTTTTTGAGATTTGAGATGCACTCTATAAGTGGAGTCAAATCTGGCTAAAATCTCTCAGAAAGTCATAGCATAGACCCTAAGAAGGAACCCATTACTGTTTTAGTAAATGACCATGTAAAACTGTTTTCTAAATACTTATATTTATGAGCTTAGATTGTGTTCTCAGCCTCACCTAGATAAACTTCTTGCTGCCATGGATATCACTTAATGAAGAAGTTTATCTAGGTAAGGCTGAGACACCCAACTAATGGTTCAGATAATGGTCACTGAAAAGTAAAAACAGCTGCCTGTACAATTCAAACTTGCCTACTCTAACTGGATAAGTTATTAAAGAAATTACTTAAATAACTGAATCTAGTTGTAAATCTACAGGAAATAAAATGTTGGAGAAATTTATTTTACTCATCATAGCACTAGGTCAATTTCAAAAAAATTCTGCAAAATTGACAATTCTTTGCTTCAATGTTACTGTAAAAGAATTCTAAAACACAGGGGGGAAGGAGTCATAGAGATCAGTAGGATACAGGTTTTAGGAAGGGGAAGAAAAGAGAATGGGAATGCTTTAACTGGGAATTAAATACGAGAATGTAATACACAGGAAGAGGGTGGAAGGAAAATTAAGTTATACTAAGGGTGTTTTAAAAATATAAGGAAACATATTATTTAATAAACATTACTTAGATGCAGAGAGAGAGAGAGAGAGAGAGAGAGAGAGAGAGAGAGAGAGAGAGAGAGAATATTACACCACATTTAGTAATAATGGCTCCCTCAAGAGCCATAGACTATCTAACAAAAATCCAAGAGCCAGGCATGGGAAACTTCCCTTCATGTTTTGATCAGAGTTGTCTGAAAGACTGCCAAAATGACATAAGCTATGGCTATCACCTTTGGTTGTTTCCCAGAACTTAAGGTAAGACCCTAATATTAGTAGGTTCTCTAGACTAGTGCTTCTCAATATTCCTAACATTCTGGCCCTTTAATATAGGTCCCCATGTTGTGGTGATTTCCAATAATGAAATTTCTTTTGTTGTTACTTCACAAATATAATTTCACTACTGTTATGAAATATAATATAAATATGTATGTGTTCCTACGAGTTAGATAACCCTTGTGAAAGGGTCATTTAATATCCAAAGGGGTCACAAACCACATATTGAGAACCTCTGCTTTAGAGGAATATAATCAATATGATGAAATTATATATATGCACACACACACACATATGTAAGACAGCACAAGAACTGTCTTTCAAAGGGATAACAGTTGGCTGCAAATGGTAGTCTATCCAATTTCAAATGGTCATTCCTTATCACTTCTACATATGAGCAAAATTAAATGGGTGGATTCAGTGGGTTCTGAATGTTTGTATGTGTATTTATATACATAGATATGGAACACTAACAATTGTAGAAGAGGTCATAAATTTGAGAGTCCATAAAAGCGATACCATAAGAGTTAGAGGAAGGACAGGGGTAGAAATGAGAAAAATATACGGTATACTTTTATAAAAGTTTCAAAAATTAAGTTAAAGCAAGATTAATTTGCATTATGCATGATACGGTCTCTCATTTGTACCATCAATTATTTCAGGATTTTTGAGTCATTATCGAAAAAGTGTTGACATATTAGTCCACACATGCCTTTAATTTTTTTGATTCAGAGCTTATTGGGTTTTCTTTCATATCTACCTTCTATTGATCTGTGTCTGTCATTTTCTGTTTTTCAACTATCCCTGATGTAATAGACACATAATACTTACTTTGGGTGCAGTGAAACAAATATTTGAAATACCTGCCAGAGTTATGCTACACAGCGTGAATTCAATAACTATTATTTAGTACTTTCCCAGTCTTGGAACAATTTCTCTCATTGTGGATGTGGTTGTAGATTCCTACTTTGATAATCTACCTGGAGTTCAGAGTTCACCATTGCTTTTCCAAGCTTATGCCATAATTTCTGCTCAAGTATCTGAAGGAGAGGTGCTCATTTTTGGTGGCAGTCTTTCCTGACAGCTTCACATTGTATACTTCAAACATGCTTTTGATGTTTGGGACAACCTTCAGACTCCTGTTGGATTTCCTAGGAAACCACTGTCCCCTGTGACTGTTGACTGCTGAGTGTCTCAAGATTTCACAGTTGCTTTCAGTTGCTATTTGGAATTTCCAGTTCTGAATCTGCATATTTTGTTCCTCCACTATTGTAGCTGAAACCTTTATACGTTGAGCCATATTGTAAGATACCCTATTTCCAACCTAAATAACAAGTAAAGTACCTTTCCCTATCACACATGCTGGTGACTGAGATAGATTTCCTTCATGAGAGAAGCTTTGTAATATGTTTTTACATGCACATACAATAGGAAACTTCCCCATTTATCTACTACCAAACCAAATTTCTTTACCAGTAGCAACCAGTCCTTACTAGAACCAGAACTGAATTACAGAAACTCCTGATTTAACATGTTTTCAGCTTCCCATTGTTAAATTGGCTTCAATGCTGATTGAACTTAAAGTTCATTCATTTTAATTAAGCTAAGATGACTAGGATTCAATTATCTGTGTATCCTTTTTTCCACCAGACAGGATCAAATAGGAAGAATTTAACAGTAATGGAACCCCCATACACGTAAGAAACTCTATGTACTATGATATATATCAATATATATATATCATATATATATATAGATCACTATTAAATTCTGCCTTTCTTTCACTGTAAAATAAACTTTACATTTTTATCAGAATATATCAATTCATGGAACTGCAAAATATAAAATGTCAAATCTTCAAATGTAAACACAATTTGTGACTGAAATACAATACACATATTCAGGTAAAATTCTGTCCAAAACATCTTTTAACCTTAGCATAAACATTGAAAGAGAAAATATCATGGTCTACTCTCAAGGGAAAATGATACTATGAATAGTGAGATGATATTCATAATAACAACAGCTTATCTGTTAGGGTATGATCATCTATAGGTCAGATTGTATTATTTAGCAATTTAAGCCTCTCAGCTGGCCATTGCCTCTGTCTACTCTCAATTCTCAAGGAGGACAATCAATTTTCATTTTTTAATTTATTTTACATCCTACCACAGTTGCCCTTCCCTCTCTCCTTCAAGTTGCTCCTCCCACCTTCTCTCTGCTCCCTACATGTACTCCTCTGTTTGTATTCAGAGAAGTGCAGGGCTCCCATGGATGTCAACAAAACATGGCGTATCGAGTTGTAGTAAGACTAAGTACCTCATCTTGTATTAAGGCTGGGCAAGGCAACCAAGTACGAGGAACAGGGTCCCAAAATCCAGTGAAAGAGTCAAAGACAGATCCCACTTTCACTGTTAGTCTCATAAGAAGACCAAGCTACACAACCAACACATATATGCTTAGGATCTAGGACAGTCAATAATCTTACTCA